TTGAGATAAGGTCTTGCTCTGTCGTCCAGGCTGGAGTGCATGGAGTGATCTTGGCTTACAGTAACCTCTGTCCCCTGGGGCTCAAGTGATCCTCACACCTCAGTCTCCCGAGTAACTGGGACCACGGGTGTGCATAACCATTCCCAGCTATTTCTTTGTATTTTTAGTGGAGACAAGGTCTTGCCATGTTGCCCAGGCTGGGCAGGAACTCCTGAGCTCAAGCAATCCACCTGCCTTAGCCTCCCAAAGTGCTAGAATTTCAGGCATGAGCCACCGTGTCTGGCCATACCCCTTATTATGTTTGTTTATTTATTTATTTATTTATTCTTGAGACAGGATCTCACTCTGTCACCCAGGCTGGAGTGCAGTGGCATGATCTTAGCTCACTGCAACCTCAAAATCCTCAGCTTAAGTGATCCTCCTGCCTTAACCACCTGAGTAGCTAGAACTATAGCCATTTGCCATCATGCCTGGATAATTAAAAGCATTTTTTTGTAGAGATGGGGTCTCACTATGTTGCTCAGGCTGTTCCTGTATTCTTGGCCTCAGGCAATCCTCTCACTTTGGCTTCCAAAACTGCTGTGATTACAGAGGTGTGATAGAAATTGAGCTTCATAAATTATACAAATAATTTTTGTATGTTGTAAGACATTTGGAAAACACACAAAAAATAAAAACGTATTATTCCCCAATGAGAAAGAATCACTGATAACATTTTTGTATATTTCTTAGCATGTTTTTATTTTCTATATATGCATATAAAGTTGGAATCCTCTATTTATATTAGTTTTGCATCCTGTTTTTAAATATTGTGTTGTGAACATTTTACCATGTCTTTCCTTAAACACAGTTTTCAATGGCTGTTCCTCTATTGTTTATGAATATCTTATAAAATATTGAACAATTCCCTTATTATAGGATATTTTATATTGCCTATATTGTTTCTTTAATTACACGAACACAGCCTTCATTTAATAGAAGGATGATTTTTTTCTTAATTTTTTTTTCTCTTTCCATAGGACTCTGCTTGATAGATTTTTTCCTAATAAAATTTTTGTATAGTAGTTTTGAAAATTAGATATTTTCTCTCATTATTCGTGTAATGTCTTCTACTAGATCCCAGAATACGGAAAGAGTGTAATAAAATTTATTAGATCACACATTCTTTTTTTTTTTTGAGATGGAGTTCTGCTTTTGTTACCCAGGCTGGAGTGCAATGGCATGATCTTGGCTCACCACAACCTCCGTCTCCCAGGTTCAAGCGATTCTCCTGCCTCAGCCTCCCGAGTAGCTGGGATTACAGGCATTCGCCATGAAGCCCAGCTAATTTTTTGTACTTTTAGTAGAGATGGAGTTTCTCCATGTTGGTCAGGCTGATTTGAACTCCCGACCTCAAATGACCCGCCTGCCTTGGCTTGCCAAAGTGCTTGGAGTACAGGCGTGAGCCGCTGTGCGCAGCCTAGATCATACATTCTTTCAGGGATAATGACAATATTCTGATAAAATATTGGTCATACTACTGAAAATGTTAACACTACCACTTAATCATAAGCCATAATACTGTGTTATACCCAAAGTACAAAATAAAATGTTGAAGCAGAAAATATAAACTAGAACCATAGAATCTGGAAGTAAAATTGTCTCCATATCTTATTTCATGTACTTTTTTTCACTGAACAAGATAGCACTCTCCAAACCGTAAGAAATTGTCACACGCCTTAGTACTTATAACTTTACATTAAAGGCAATTCTTTATTAAATTATTGATTTATTTAAAAAAAAAAACTCTTTAATCATATGCACACAAGGGTAATAAAGGGCAACACCAGGCTGAATGGAGAAAGGAGGAAGATATTCTCCCTTTGTCCCAGTGTCTGCTTAGCACAGTTCTGAAATCACACAAACAAGTGGGAGTGGATTGGGAAACACAATAAGTGAGAGGACTGATGAGACAAAGGCAAGTGGGGAGAGGCAAGGGCTCGAAGTAGTCTCTACCAGTGGACTCTAATACAGATTTGCTCAGTGCAAGTTCCCAGTAGTGTTCAGCCCCATGCTTTTTGAAATGCTCACGAGCCATGTTCTCTGTAGGACACTGTTTAAACTTCATCTCTCCAAAGCTCCAGTCTTTGGCTGTACCCTCCCAGACTACTACATATTTGTTGGTTTTCTTCACAGTTTCCTCATCAGATTCCTCCTCATCATCTCCTTTTATGTAAGATGTGTGTTCATCCCACTTTATCCGATGCAGCATAAAATGCTTAAAGGGGGCCTTGGGGCCCCCTTCTACTACTACCATGTTACATCCTTGTGCAGTACTACCACTCCTGTCAGGTACAACTACCCAGCATCGGCCTCAATCTTGAACTTCTTGGCTGGGTTGCTCAAATTTCTAACTCTATATACAGATATGTGTACCTCCTGTGAAATGTCTTAAACTTTTTAATTTTCTTGACCTTTCTCTGTTTTGCTGTGAGTTTTCAGGTAGTGTTGGCCTCTTCATGCATTTTCTGTCTTTTTGCCATCTGAGCTCTGACATGGGCTTCTACCTTCGTGGGTCTTGAACAGCTTCTGTTCCTAATACTTGCATCAAATTAGAAATTCTCACTTTGGTTTCTGGAGGGGGCATCAGGCCCAGCGTGACTTTTTCTGGTAGTTTCTTCTGTGCTTCTGTCCTTGTTTGTCTCCGAATTTTTTTCTGTTCCTTCTTGGTAAGATACACTCCAAGAGTAACTGGTGTGTCATTGTGGACTGGAGGATTGAGCTGGGCTGGATGTTCAACAAGATTTGTGATTCCAAAATAATCTTGTCTCTTGGGATTTTCCTCTGTAAGGTCAAAGCCACTGGGGATTATATAAGAGTCCCACCACTCAATTTCAGGGATATTTCCTTCCTTTAGCTCCTTCCTAGGAGCAATGAAGGCAAGCCTAGTCAAAGTGTAGATGCCTGTTTTTTGAGCTACTTGTGAAATCTCTCCTGTAGCTTCTCCAGTTGAGCCTTTGTCCTTAATCGCTGAGCAGTCTTCACAAATTTGCCCTTGTCATGGAATTTAAAAGTGCATCTCTGGCTCTGAGAAGAGGCAATGGAGACTCAGGGGTCAAAAAAGGTATTGGATTCCATGTCTTCTGATGGCTTTTATTTTAGCTGTTGCTTCAATGGTTCCCTCTTCACAGCACAAATATTGGCCTTCAGAGTAGGGATGTGGTGTGTCAGCTCAGCCTCATTGCCTATTGCATCTACAGTGTGCCTTGCTCATCTAGGATCAGTGGTGTAGGTTTAATTTGGTCTTTTAACTCCATCTTTAGGGGAGCAATGCCTATGGCATGGAGATTAGCCAGACCCACCATGTTGGCATTACTGAGTCCTGGCTTCAGTGCCCGTCAGGCTTGGATATGAGCTTGTAGTTCAGCTGCTTTCCTTGCCTTCTCGATGGCATCAGTCATGAAAATGGCAGTCTAGGAGGGCTGAATAGTGTTGCCAATTGGAAGTCACTCTGGTTGGGAGGAAGAAGGAGTCTTTGGCTGAGATGTACAGGGGCTAATGAAGCTCAGCTGTTTTTTCCTCTTCTCGATGTGTCTTGTTGCTGCCTCCATCATCTGTTTGGTCTGGCGCTTAATAAGCATGCCAGGGCTCTCTGATGGAGGCCCAGGGATCACCTCTGACCCTTCTTCCACCTCCTCAAAATGGGGTATTCATTGCTTCTTTACTCCTGATCTCAAGAGTCATCACCAAACACTTCCTTTAGCTCTCGTTTTCTGCTCCTGTCACAGCTACACTTGGAATGCCTAGAGCTTCCGCCTTTCTCCACAGCCTCAGTTTGTCCACAAATCGGAAAGTAGAATAATCAAGAAAAGGCTTCAGATTATCGGCTGCTATCTTCTTGTGCATGCTGTACCCCACACCGTTCAATGCTGCTGTGACCACTGCAGGCTCTGAGAAACCCAGCGCCCTCTTTACTGCCTTCTATATCCATGGTTTCAGCTCATCCAGCTCCTTCTTAGTGTCGTTTTTCAGGAAAAAGAGAATAGCTCAAATTGGACTCAATACTACACCTCACAAACTTCAGCCTCGGAGATGGAGGCCGAACGTTAAACCAGAACCTGAAACCGTCTGACTGCCCTACGACCTGCTGTCGCTACAGCCATGGTTGCTGCCACACTGCCATGACTGCTGCCATGACTACTGTCTCCCAATACTTGAGCAGGGAGGGCCAGGCAGCCAATTCGTGCAGCCGTATTTACCACTTCGAGGCAGAGCACATGTGTCGCAGAACCAAAGTTTCCCTTGCTTGCTTGCTTGCTTTCTGTTTCCCAGGCCAAACCTAGTAACTAGATTTCTGTCAAGTTAATGTCTTCAACTTCCTGAAGTGGAAATTGGGCTACTTGTAGTTTTCCTCATGTGGAGAATAACTGCGCAAAAGTAAACTTTTGATAGAACGAAGAGTGAAGCTTTTTCGTTTGTGCTCAAACACAGCCTTTCTGATAGAAAGTAAATCCTTTCACAATCATGGTCACTAGAATTAGCCACCCCTCCTAACCTTTTCTCCCTTATTTAACAGAGGTGTCAGGCCGGGCAGGGTACACTTTGGGAGGCTGAGGCCAGTGAATCACTTGAGGTCAGGAGTTCAAGACCAGCCTGGCTGACATGGTGAAACCCTGTCTCAGTACTCTACAGGTCATTCTTTGATGCTCAATTTTTCCAGCCACTTATATTTATTGATGTCTTTCCAGATCTATTTTATTAATAATTATATAGCTTGTTAGTATATTTTTGGATGGGATATATGTAATAAATACAAATTTAAAAAAATATGTTATAAAGATAAGGAATGGAAATTCCAAGTCTTTCACTTTTTATTTATTTATTTATTTATTTATTTATTTATTTATTTTTGAGATGGAGTCTTGCTCTGTTGCCAGGCTGGAGTGTAATGGTGCAATCTCAGCTCACTACAACCTCCGCCTCCTGGGTTCAGGCGATTCTTCCGCCTCAGCCTCCCAAGTAGCTGGGACTAGGTGCGTGCCACCACACCCGGCTAATTTTTGTATTTTTAGTACAGACGGGGTTTCACCATGTTGGCCAGGATGGTCTCAATCTCTTGACCTTGTGATCTGCCTGCCTTGGCCTCCCAAAGTGCTGGAATGACATGCGTGAGCCACCGTGCCCGGCCCAAGTCTTTTGCTGTAATCTCTTCTTCCTCATGTTAATGTCCCAAACAGAGCTGAGGAATGACTAGGAAACTGTGCCTCAGTTAACCTGATTCCATCTCATTTTTAGCAAATGATTTTTTACTTTTTAGACGGAGGCTCGCTCTGTCGCCCAGGTCTGGAGGGCGATGGCATGATCTTGCCTCACTGCAACCTCAGCCTACCGAGTTCAAGTGATTCTCCTGTCTCAGCCTCCTGAGTAGCTGGGATATAGGCGCACGCCCTCATGTCCGGCCATTCTTTGGTATTTTAGTAGAGACAGGGTTTCACTGTGTTGCCCAGACTGGTCTTGAGCTCCTGAGCTCAGGCAATTCACCCGCCTCCGCCTCCCAAAGTTCTGGGATTACAGGCATGAGACACCTTGCCTGGCCGCAAATGATCTTATTTGAGGTTAATAGGTGTGAAAATGGTTCAAAATTGGGAGCCAGGTAATAGATGCAAGATCATAGACCTATGAGATTTATTTAATTTTAATAAGTTGCTCTCAATACAAAATTTGCTTATACTCATGCTAAGTAAGCCAAATATGTGGGTCTTCACTCTATTTGGTGAGGACTGGATAACCTAAAAAACATAAAATGACTCCCATATTACTTATTGCAGGGACACAGCAAACCAGTGCCTTCATGAGAGGTCACTGCCCGTCTCTCTGATGCTATGTCACCTGGTTACTATTAATAAAGTACTTTTGTCCATTTCCCCCAGTATAGTGCATATTCAGGAATGTTCTTATTTGTAAGGATCTCATAAAGGGTCTCCCCAGCCCGCTCCCCTATCAAATGAAAGGGATTCCTCTATGTTCTTATGGTAACATTCGGCAGATATCAAGCAATGAAAACCTCGATCAATTTTATCTACAGAACCAAGAGCTAAGGAGTCTCTTGAGATCATCAAAGGATTTATGCCAACAAAAGTTTGGCAAAGGGTCAGCAAGTTCTACACATTTATGGCTAACCATTTTTATTGGCAATAAAATATTCTCTTTAAGGAATAAGTATCAGGTGCTTTAATTCATTATTTCTGAACAGCAGATGTTTTTCATACTTTATTTCTCAATTTTAGCTTTTGCTCTTATTCAAAATATTGAATTTAAAATTGACAATTTTCACAGATCCAGATGTCATATTTATATTTCTGAAAGCTTGCTGGTAAAATAAGCAAAAAGTTAACTAGGTGTCATTCTCTTAAAAATTATATTTTTTACGTACCCAGTGATTTTGACACCAATATCAACCTGTCCCTGTATTTTGGTTTGAGACAAACAGGATTTCCATTTAGATCAATTTTCCACAGCTTCATCAACTTGTTCAGTAAAAACTCCAAATCCTGTAATTAGAGAAGAAAAAGCAAAGCATAAGCATTTTATAATTGCCAATACTTCTAGCATGTCAGTTACTGTTTTAAAAGGTAATTACTGCTTTCGTGGAGCTCTAGCTCAGAGCCACGTACTTAGAAGCGGCATAATAACTAAATTTTGAATAAAACAATCTATACTGATAATAGAAGGCACTAAAGATGAGGCAAAAACTGAGGTCCTAAGTTGAGGTCCACATAACTGTTCCCCGTCATACTCCCTTAAATGGTCCCCACTGCAGCTCAGAAAAAGCTTTTTCCTGCAGAAGATGCCCTATTCTTAGTGTAGCTCATAGAAATTTACAAATTAGGCAATTAAGGGGTAGTGAGTGAGCAGTCCCTTGCGATTGTGAGCAGTCCCTTGCGATTGTAAGCAATGTGTATTGTTGCTTTTTATTTTACAGATTAAATGTGTTAAAAAAACAAAAAACAAACACTTACCAAAGGGGAAAATAGAAGGGGGAAAAATCATTTGTATGCATACTATGCAAAGATCACTTTTAATATGTTGCTATATATCCTTCTAATTTTTAGCATAGGGACTTTTGGGAGGGCACATATTTTTAATTGTCATGATTGTACTGTGAGTACAATTTAGTTTTACATTACATCATAAATATTTGCATGTTTTTATAGGTTACAAGAAGAAAAACAGCTCATTGATATTTCAAAGAATAATAAGTTATTCCATGGTCTATAACCCAAATAAATGTGAGGAAAACAGATTAACGGCACTTAACGAACTGTCTCAGTTTGCTCTTTTCATAGCCTTTTGTTCCTATTTGGGTTTCTTTTCCCATCCAATGTCACCCTTTGCCCAGTACCTTGTCTGTCATTTCTTGCTTTCTCCCCTTCCCTTGTTTCTAAAAGATATATTTTAACTACTACTTAATGAAAGTGAAGTACACTTTGAGTATTTCTTATATGTGCTCAAAGTTCTGTTCTTTATTTTTAAAATCAGATACATTTAATCTGTAATGAATTACTCAACAAAAGTAGTGCATTTAGGTTGTTTCCATGTCTTGGCTATTGTGAATATTGCTGCAAAGAACACGGGAGTGCAGATGAGGCTTTTAAAATAGTAATTTCACTTCCTTGGATATATGCCCTGAATTCAGTCTGTGCTAGAATTTGAGGGATTCAAATAAATAATTTATGTGAAAATATGACATTATTTTTTAAAATACATGGCAATCCTAAACTTCCTGGCACCACTGCTGACTGTGTGACCTTAGGCAAATGTATGTCTTCATCTATAACACGAGGTTAATTAAGATTAGTTGCCATGGCATATAAAGTGCCTGGAACAAAGCAAGTAATAAATGTGTCAGTTCTCTGCCTGTTTGCCTGCCCTCCTATCTCTTAACTAATTCCCTTTCGCTTAATTTTTGTCAACAGAGAGCGAAAACATTTTAAGTAAGGAAGAAGCTTCTTGACCTATTGACAAATAAGTAGTTTACTTTTTATAAGAAAGTTATCTTTATAAATTGTAACTTCAGCCTTCAGTTCTGGACTCTGGAATATGCCTTCTCCAACACCATTTGTTTGGTAGTGTTTAATACAGCCATAGCTATCTTATTTTATGTGAGAGTTACATTGTATTTCTCTTACTCTAAAAACCTGTAAAGAAGGGATTGTGTATCACATTTTTTTACAGTGTCGAATGTGATGCCCAGCATCTAAAAGTTAATAAGGACAATTAGAGAACTTTAAATTGATGTAGATAAAAAGAGTGCTTAGAGTTTTGTTAATTGTTCCTTACTTGATAAATGACCCTCGACATACTCCCTCCAGTGTATGTTTATTTAAGACTAAACTAATCCTGTGCTGAAATACGATTACCCTTTGGATACGCTCTGGTTGTTCATTGCCTTCCTGTCTTTAATAAAAAGCTTTCACTTTCCTGTTCTTCAATAAGTTACTAAAGGAAGCAGACACTTTTCTGGACAGTCTCTGTTTGATAAATGATCATGTCATGCTATCACTTAGTGGAGTGCTGCAAAATACTGAGGAGCAAATTCTATTTCCCCTGCAGGGCTGATGCCTAAGCTCCTGTATAGGCGTCCGCAGTGCAGCAATGTTCTCTCTACCATTAATGATGACCACTGATGAACCTGTATTTGACCAGCATACTCCAATTTTTATCGGAAATGTCTGGACCAACCATTCTTAATAAATCTAAAGACAGCCATTTGTCATCCCTTTGACTGCCTGTCATCATCTGCCTGGGAAAATCTATAATTTTTGGCTTGTTCTTGACTCAACTGTGGAATGAATAAATTTATCTTTGGGCTACTCTGCTTGTCAGGATCAATATTGAGCAGAGGTTGAATAAATTAGAAACTGAGAAAATATGACAGGCCTTAGAAGTTTGTTCATTTGTGTCTTATAAATCAGATATTTAGTTTATATAAGAGTCAAGGATTCAAGTGTTTTATTTCCCTCATTCATACTGAAGATTCTATATCTCATGATAAATGGTCATCAGAAAACCAATGAAGTAAATCACTAATATATCTGACTTTGAGATGAACTTTTCAGATCATTGTATTGATTTAGCAAACTTTACAGACTTAAAAACTGTAGGTAAAGATTAAACTTTTTTTTGTTCTTCAAGTTTTATACATTTTTGTAGCCATGATATTTATTTGACTTAATAATGTCAGCAAGCTATATAATGCTGGCCCTAGTGAAATTCATGGCTCAACTTAGCCTCATCAAACTACCTGTACAGCTGCAAAAGTTTTATTATAAATTGTTAAGGTATTTAATAATTTTTGTACATTGATGCATATCTGTTTAAAGGAGGTAACAGGAAAAACATACAAAGACATGTTAACCAAAAGTAAATGTCATTTAAACTAGACCCCTATAAGTTAAAGGAGTTTCTGAACAATGGAGTGTTGTTTGGGCTAAAACCTCTCTTTCTCCTTCTCTTCAGTGGTTGACCTTACCAACAATTTTACTGGAGAGAAGTTGGCCATCCGACCACCAAGTTTTCTCAGTTATCTGCCTTTGGTTTCACACTTCCTCTTCCATTCTTCTTTTCTATTTTCCTCAACAAAGGAAGAGTCACACCTTTTTCCCCAGGTTAATTAGTTCTTTTGATTCCAGCCTTTTCTTCTTGGGCTCTTCTCTTTCTTCCATTTCCATTTCTAATATCTCCCTCTTATCTGGATTTTGTCTCTTACCTACCACTGCCAAACTTCTTGAAGACTGATTCAGACTAGTGCTTCTCAAACTTCCATGTGCTTAAGAATCCTGAGTGATCTTATTTAAATGCAGGTTCTGATTTGTTAGGTCTGAGACAGAAGCAAGCCTAGATTCTGCATTTCTGCTGCTGCTGCTGCTGGTCTAGATCCCTACTTGGAGTTGGCCTAAGCCACTGCATGGCTACAGTGTGGAGAACAGCTGGTTGTTTCTTCAACCACTGGGTACTCCTGCAACCTGGTGCCACTGAAAAGGCATTGCTAACGTTATTACTGATCCACACATTGCCAATCAATCACATACTTTCTCAGTCTCGATTCTTTGGAATATCTTACCCTGCTCACCACTCCCTTCATGGCTTTGTGATTCTACATTCTTGCAGGCTCCGAGGATCCTTCATCAATCTCTGACCGCACAAGTAACAAACCTCTGACTACAGAAATCCCCCATATATGAAAAGGCTGTTTCATATATTGGGGAAAACTCTATAAACGTTTCCACCATCTCTCACTTCCTAACTAGCCTGGCCTCTTCCAGTCTGTTCTTCACATTGTAGCCATGTGGATCTTTTCAAATCGCTAATCTCAGCCACATATCGAGAACTGAGAACACATCTCATAAAAGCAATACTATAAGAACATCTGTGCAGTGACAGTCCTCTCTATAATGCATCAGCACGTTTCCAGAGAGCATGAGCTCCCACTGGGGAGCAGGAGCATATGTCCCTGGTGGCAGACCCTTTGGGACCAATTCACTTGATTCCTTTTTTATAATCCATGTTTATTCCTTCCAAACAGTGTTTGTTTCCCTGCCCTGGATCACAGCAAAATGTAAAATCACAGCTAGAAAAATGTTTGCCTCCTGTAACCCTTTACCTTCTCTGTTTATACTTAGGCCCCTTATAGAAAAAGAATGGCCACATTGATAACAGTCAAACTTCTGTTACCTTAAGGAAAGAAAGGTCATGTATTCACAAGAGGAAGAACCAAATTATGTGGGAAACCATACTGAGCATTTCTTTGTACTCTCTCCCATCCCCACTGTAGGCAGTCTTGTTGATGTTGGTAGTTTCAGTGACCACTTAAACAATACACTGAAGATTCACATTCATCTATCTTCTGAATTCTGGCCTCATATGTCCAATTATGTACTTGACATTTTCTCTGGAACATTTCAAAGGCACTTCAAACCCTACATGACCAAAACTCATAATCTCTCAAATCTGACTCTTTACTTCTCTTTTTCCCATTGTGCAAAGCAAGAAGCCCAGGAATCACTCTTGACCTCTCCTTCTCCTATGCTCCCTATATCCAACTCACAACCAAGTCTTATCCATTTTACTTCCTAAACAGCTTTCCAATCTGTCCATTCCATTTCCGTCCCTACCCTATTAAAGTTTCCATCATCTCTCACTTTGTAATTAGGCTGGCCTCTCTAGTCTATTCTTCACACTGTAGCCATGCGGATCTTTTCAAACTGCTAATCTTCAGTTACTTCACACCTGACTTAAATACCTCCAATGGCTCCTCATTGTTCTTAGGATAAAGACAAAACTCCCTTTCATGACCTTTGTGGCCTATCTACCCACTTGCCGCTGCACTATTTTCCACCTTCACTATCTCAGCTTCTTATCCCTCATATTTGCCATGCTCCCACCTGCCCCGGGATCTTGGCACATGCTGTTTTCTTTGCTGATAAGTGTTTCTTTTCTCTTAGAACTCGGCTATCCCTACCTTAGAGAAGCCTCTGGTGACCTCTCTAAC